AAAAAAAGAAATTAAGATATGATTATTTTACCTGTCTTCATATGGCATAACCAATACTTTGCATGGATTGGATTAAGAAATATTGGGGCTTCATATTTACAGAAATAACTCTTATAAATACTTACAGCTGATAATCTTGCAGATCGTCTTGTTGGCTATAAAACAAAAATAAAATTACCGTAGGTAAAGGGGATTGAGGGTAGTGGTGGTTGTCATTCATTTGCCAATAAAATATACATCAAAAGCAGACGTCTTTCATATCTTATGCTAAAGTATTTACATTTTGTGGAATTATTTTAGATATATGCAGTGTACTTAAGTAGGATAACTTAATTGTTACACTTAGAAATTTTATCTTCCTTTTTTTTCTCCATTGTAATGGAAATATTTTGTGTTGGGATCAGGGCTAAAGATTTCACAGATTATACTCAAAAGTACAGTGTAAATCAATAGTACTTTCAATTTGGTAGCCAGATAATATTTGCTATGTGACTGCTGGGGCTTTCTAAAATTAAAAATGACATATTATATTAATGTTCCAATACAAGATAATATACAGGTAAATATCATCCCAACCTTCCCCTCCCAACCTGGAGCACTCCAGATGAGATCAACTACAACTCCAGGCAGCACAGTTGTAGCCCAATGTAACTAGAAGTCATTAGATGGTGGAAGGGTGAATCCAGATAGACACACAGACAGACAAACGGCTAAAATATAAATTTTTTATATCGTAGTCTAAACCAGCCGGCCCGCCGCTCACACAGCTCACTTCTGTACCAGCCACAGCGTGATAGTGGGCCGTGGCCCAGCGGTTGAGGATCCCTAGTCTATACAGCACTGGTTATTAATATTTGGTGCTTGTGACAATAGACATTAATATTTTTGTTTGATTTACTATTTCCTTTAGAAAACAGCCTATAAACTTGAAAAGTTCTAACTGAAAGCTGATATTACATGTAAACTTACATTGAAAATCTACGGAAATCAAAATTCTCATTAAATGAAAAATGAGACAGGAGAATTTTAAGATATTTAGGACTTTAGGATATTGAGCTCCAAAAATAAAGGCTAAATACCATATTACACATCTGGATCACTTGATTCTTTTTTCTTCCATTTTAACAAAAAAATATGGATATATACTATTGGTAAAATAACATTTTTATAATATTGCTATACATGGGAGAGAAGACAAGCTCATATCCAGCTGGAAGGTGTGTCCTGTTGCACTGCCTAAATGACAGCTTTCATGTTGCCACTGAATAAGCAAATGAGGGAATCAATGTTAGTGCAACAGCTGTGCCAATGATAAGGCTCATGTGAAACACCAAAATGAATGAGGGGATATTGTTATAAGAGTCACTGTCTTCTGCTATGCTTCTGGTTCCTGAATGTGCTAATATCAGAAACAACATACTGCTGCAGAAGCCACCGGTCACATTTCAGAATATTTTTATGGTATATACTACAAAGAATTTGGTACTTTGACTTTGTTGTTCCAACTTATTTGCAGCACTGAAATATTCATTTGTGGAAGAATTTGCTTGTTAATATTGGAAAAGATCACTGGAGGCACCATTCCCCAGGATTTCAAATACGTACTCTTTTTCTCAATCTGTCACCTCAAAGCCTTCTAACTAGCATTCACAGAGTAGGACTAAAAATGCAGACTGAAACTTGAAATTCAGGTCTGCCAACCAAGGGTTTTAAACTTCCTTGATATGTTAAAAATATTACCTAGCTAGATGCCTTTCAGATTTGTGGGGAATTTTTTTGAGAATTGTAGCCATCAAGCTGGAGTAGGCTGTTACAGATCTTACCATTAACGTCTGAATTATGTCTCTTATTTCTAAAATTAGATTAAATGTCTTGCTGTATTGCTTGTATATAGAGCCATTCTTTTAGAATAGGATGTGATTTTAGTACAATTATCCTAAGCACATCATTGCAAGTATCTATTCAATGCATTTTCCCTAAACATAATTACAAATTTTTATTTCCTCATTTTCATTCATTAACTATAAAATAGACCACTGCCTTGGAAATGATGGCCTCTAACCTGCAGGAGGGACTATCCAGGAGGGGGCCTGCAGCATGATGGAGGGGACTTCTATTCTTACAAACCTGTTCCATATATAGTGTTCCTAAGAAGGAGGCCTCTGCTTTTAATTCACATGAGAATCGCCCATTTTTTCCTAAGTCATTTTGAAAACTAGTTAAAGTTGAAGTGACAGTGTAAACAAATGTTTTACAAAACAAAGTAATCAATTAAATGTACAATATGTTGCCATCTTGGCAGCTATTCCAGTACAATACCCCCAAATTTGTACTTGTCAAAGTCTTTCCCTTTTTGAGTCTATGCAGCCACCAGATATGACAGATGTTCTATCAGTGGACTGATGCTGTATCAATTCCCCAGTTCTTAAAGTCACACAAATGTAAGATTGCTTTGAAAAATGCACTTTTCTTTCTAAATATACATTTAAAACTAGCAGCATACAGGGAAAAATTGTATGCAAGCTTCTTTACTGTAATGAAAGTAACTATTACAATTAATGGAAAGCCTATGTTTACATATATGTTTACAGTGAGGATCCTGTATCAGAAAAGGGATTATTATTTAACTGCAGCAAATTAATAATTGCTGCAGTTAAATAATAATAATTGTTTTAAAAAAACAATTTGCTAGTTGTAGCTAACTTATAGACATACCAAAAATAAAATAAAACCTTTCATCCTTCTGGATATACTGAAAATACATGCACACTAACAATCCAGCTTAATCCAGTTAGCATCACAAATTTTTACATATCTAGTTTCTTACAAGTAACAAGGTTTTTTTTAAAAAAAAAAAATCCCTAGAGAACACTGGCTTGATTAAAAAGAAAGGCAATTCATGGTTAATTATTCAGGAAAGTTGCTTTGGTAAATTAAAATGTGCTTTCAAGTTGTCAATGTTTTTTAAAAATAGAAAGCATGCATTCATTTCAGCTGATCTGGAAATATTTTCTTAGTAATATCATGGTCAAATATGCCCTTTATCACTTTATTACTAACGGCAACATCCATCAAATGTTCTTTATTGAAACATTAGCTCAAAAATAAATCTGTCATAAAACCTACTTCTATGGAAGTAAGGGAAAGTACAATCTAGAAATGAGCCCCAGTGAAACAAACAGGAGCTATACTGATTTGTTCTCCGAATGTAAGGTTATAAAAATGTGATTTTAAAAAAACCTAAGCAAATATTAATTAGGACTTGTTCGATGTTCAGTCACTTGAATGGATTTCCTAGGAACTAGAAGTATTCTTCATGGAGAAGAAATTATTTATGTTCTGATGAAGTTCCTTGTTGTTAGCCCTACGAGGTATATGAGACTTAGAAAACAATGCCATATAGGTCAGGACTGTTTTTATTTTAACAGGTTCAATAATAGAAGTCTTGCAAGTCTGAATGTGGTTCCCTTTATCTTCATATTAACCTGTAAGGACTTTGTGTGCAACGTTTTCTCAAGTTATTTTGAAGGCCTGGCTCAAGCCCTGCTTATCTAACAAATGCCTTGTTAGCAGTTCTTTCTCCTATCCCTCGGGGCCATTCCCTATTCCCTCTACACATCTTGCCAATAAGATCTTTCCAAAAATGAACTTTCTTAGTTGCCAAAGCATAACATGCAATATGGGTATTTCAGAAGAAAAAGGGAACAAATATTGCCCAGATGATCAAAATACGCCATTGTGTTACATACAAGCCTTTGTATTTTCCATAGGAAAGCTACTCAGGTGAGTATATAAAGTGATATTCCAACAGATATTAGTGCAGAAGATTCTTTTTTAGAAGGTTCTAGGTCAGTGTCACCTGTACCCAACATCCCTACTTGTCTATTTATTATTTGTTTATTTATATCCCACTTTTATTATTTCTACAAATAACTCAAGGTGGTAAATATATCCAACACTCCTTCCTCCTAGGGGCAAGGCTAATCTTATGTTAGCCCTGCTGCAGAGTAAATACAATTGTACTGTAATACAAATACTGCTTAGTTCAAGACTGTTCTTTTAATATTACTACTGCTCCTGCTATTTTTACCAAATGGAGCTTCTGTCTTATTTCCCTTAAAATCAATTTCATTTATAATTGGAAACCATGCAAACAAATGCAATAGATGTATTCTTGGCAGAAGGGGGGGGGNAGCCCTGCTGCAGAGTAAATACAATTGTACTGTAATACAAATACTGCTTAGTTCAAGACTGTTCTTTTAATATTACTACTGCTCCTGCTATTTTTACCAAATGGAGCTTCTGTCTTATTTCCCTTAAAATCAATTTCATTTATAATTGGAAACCATGCAAACAAATGCAATAGATGTATTCTTGGCAGAAGGGGGGGGGGAAGAAGTGGAGGGGGGGATTCTTTAAAAAAAAGTGTGACAAGCAGAAAAAAAAACTACTTCAAGCTATTCCTAAAATATGCCAATATGAGGGACAATTCTAAGTCTGCAGAAGCAGATTCCTCATTTAAGGTGCTTCAGTTCACCAGTGGACTGAACTAACTCTGTACCAGATGGGAATGAGTTCCCTTGCAGAGCAGACATGTCCTTGGAGATAAGAGCATTCTATCTCTCACAGGCTTATTTGCACATTCCTTCTGCTTTTAAAATAAGGAAGTTATAATTTCAAAGGGGAGTTATAAATAGCAGCAGCTTACACTAAGACTTTGGAACTTGTGTATTCCATGCAAATATTAAAACAACTTGTGAACAGGCAAGTGATTTTTAAGTAGTTGGCATTTGATCCTGTCCATACTGTACTTGTATGCAAAGAATCTCTACAGGACAATATAAAAGGGGTTTGGTTTTGTTCTCACATGTTGTGGCGCACCTGGGCATGAGGGCATCCAGTCAAAGCTGTGATCTGGTATATGAGGCTATGATCGCCTTAACTCTCTCTCTCTCTATTATAAATCAAGCTTCTGTGGGCAACCTTACTGAATTTCAGTCACTGGAGCAACGTGACTTGTGGAGGTTTGTACTGCCAAAGGTGTCTGCCCCAGCATGTGGAAATTATTCAAGAAGTTCTTCCTGCCTGGGAAAGAAATTATCTCTCAGTGTTCCCATTAACATAGTGGAAGAACTTTGAAAGGCCATCTGGGAACAGCTGTTATAGCAAATGTAACTGACAGAACATTAAGCTTTATCCATGGGCATCTATTCCTAACCAAAATGATAAAAGATAAACTTACAATGCCACATCTGACATTTCAAACGTCTGTCATAACATTGGCACAGAGGTTTCCAAGGGGCATATTTTGTCATTGCTCACTCCTTTGCATCAGGCTAAAAACCAGGAGACTGTCAATCAGGCTTGGCCAACAAGCTGGTTGGCCAATTCCTGTTGCAACCAATGGATCAACATTTGTTGATCCTAAACGAAGCAGACTCTGCCCTTGCAGAATCCTGTGGGACTTCCTGATTCACAGGTACCAGCCAATCAACTAGACACTGTGATAGTAAGCAAGGATATTGTTTATCAAAATGTTATGTTTCAAGGAAGAGGATTTTCTTAAATATACAAAATATATGAAGTGTTAACCAGCTGCCATGAAAGCACCACTACACTTTATTAGATAGACTGACTATGGCCAGAGAGGAATGTAATTGTTTTTGTCTTTATTATCTTGCCATCAATAAAAGAAAGAATTGAAAACAATCAGACTTGCCTCTTGTTTTGTTATTTTTGCTGCATCCTTGGCTTCAGCACCCTCTGGGGACTAGAAAGAAAATTATACGATTAAGTATACTGCATTCTCCTTAGTTAAAACAGACAGAAATATAGAACCAAATGGTAATCTTATAGGTTATACTATTTCAATAAAACAGACAGTGAGATTTAATTCCATTCTTATTTCTAATGAGTTAGAGATTACCTGAGCATTAGATGATTATAATCTGAAGTGTTTTGAAGATATAAATATTCACAAGGGATTAACAATTTTCTATTTTAACAAATGTTTCTTTAAAAAGAGACTAAGGGGTGGTTTTAAGTAGAACCATTCAGTTACATGTGTTATATTCTAGTTTACTTTTCAGGTCAAATGAAAATGAAAAGAAAATCTATAGTCCAATTTTGATGAAGATACTAAAATACAGAATTATAACTATTTGTCTCCCATCCAGTCCTCAATAATGGAAATGGACAACATATCTTATTAGTAATACTACAAATTAAAATCTGTGGTAGGAAAAGAAAATCTTAATTTTTTTCTTGAAGGAAAATTAAGTTTAGTTTAAGTAGGACTAATTTCAACCAGGTGTATTTAAATCTAGATTCTTACTGGTAGAATAATGTCGCTTGGCTTGGATATTTTATAAGAATCTTTTGATGTTTAGGTAAACAATTCAAACTTCCAAAACTCTTATAAATAAATAAATATACATAATATTGCACTAAAACCATTTCAAAGCAGCAAAAATGAGAAACTAGTAAAGCCTCATCTGGACCTATGTCCCGTATGTAAATGGTACAGGAGGATCTACGCAGCAGTTTGGAATATAATTTCAACACAGTATCGGCTAGGCAGGAAAGGGCATTTGCAGCAAGAGTAGCTGGATTCCAAATGGGCGACATGATGGGACAGAGTTATTTACAAGTAGTCCTCGTTTAGCAATTCCCACATTTAGTAACCAGCCACAGTTACACTGATAATGAAAAAGTAACTTTGCGACCAGTCCTTGTATTTGTAACCTTTTCAGGTCTGTAAAGCAGATTGTAAAATCATGAAGCTTCACTTATTGACCACCAAATTGCCAATCCTAATTGAGGTTGCTAAATGAGGACTACCTGTGTAAAAGGGGCAGCCTACAATCACCTGGTCATTTTGAAGCATTGGCCATTGCTGTAGACATTTCTTGGGGCAGGAAAACATAGGTATTATAGGGCTTCCCAAACAATGCCTTTATCACACAAACACGTAATAATGCATGCAGGATTTTTTTATGGAATAGAAATAAAGAACAAAATAAAAAAGGATAATTGATTTCTACAGTTCATGTCTTAGTTGGCCTTTCCAGGTTTCTTATAGTTGCTACAGACAAATTAAAACAGGCTTCACCACATAATCCCATGTAATATATTGGAACTACAACTCCCAGAATTCAACAATTAGAGCATGTCTATAACTGCAGCACTATTTCACACCGCATCTGATGGGCTGTCCTAACTAGGACAGAAACTATTACACAAACTGTATTCCACCAATCTCCAACATTCCTGAAAATAAATAATGGCAGATATTTACTCCAGTAGTTCACACAGCAACTAAATTTGTTATAAATGGAAGGCAAAGCAAGATATGGGGTTGCAGAGTCAGGCATGACTTAGCAACTGAACACTAACAAACTAGTATCCATTTCCATTTAAAAATAAATTAAAATCCCACATTGGCTACTTGAAATCCCAAACCAACCAATGGTCTGCAGGGTGGACTTTCCCCAAAATTTAAAGCAAGCCACATTTTTTCCCCACAACAACCAGTAAAAGATTTCTCATCCATAATTTGCTACAGATTGCTAATAATGAGTCTTCTGGCAGAAAACGGGTTTCAACTGGAAATGCTTTGATGACAATCCAATCTAACACTGCAGTGGCTCATGAGCAAGTATCTGAAGTTCTAATGGACCCCCAAAAGTTCCGAAGTCCTGATAGCCCCCCCCCCTCCCCATGGCCCCATGACATTTGAGGCATTTAGAAATTCTGACATTGCCACCATTTACAGCATCCTGTAGTCATGTGATCACAATTTACATTTTTTTTTTTTTTTAAAAAAAGGCATTTACTTCTGCAATGGGTTTGCTCAACGACTGCAGAGTTTACTTAATGACTGCCACGGAAAAGGTCATAAAATCAGGTCGGTCTCATGAGTGCTATCTTCACTCAAAACTATCCTCACTGCTTTACACCTTTATTCCAAGAAAATGTGCTAAGAAGGAACAGAGGTTCCAGCTTTATGTCTCACTGGATGAATCATTTAGCTACAAGCAAGAATGTACTCTTCAAGAAAAACTCTTCTGCTAATAAAGAATGTGCTGTGTACTATTATGCTTCTCTCTCTCTCTCTCTCTCTCTCTCTCTCTCTCTCTCTCTCTCTCTCTCTGTGTGTGTGTGTGTGTGTGTGTGACAGAGAGAGAGAGAGAGTATGGTGTGTGTCTAAATTTTATTTTTTAAATTATCCATTTTTAAACCATTTGTTTAAACTTTATTAAATTCATTAACCTTAATACGAATAATAGAAGAAACAGAATGTTTTAAAACTATATCAGCACATTGCTGAAGCCTAAAAATGTAAAGTCAAACAACTTTATACAATTTATAAAATATATGCTGAATCAATTAAGAAGCTTGTAGTACAATACCCTGGGCTGGCTTAGCCCCCATCCTCCCACCCCCACCAGAAGAGAAAGTCTTTTCACCATGGGAGGCATTTCAGATTTGATAAAGAGTGTCACTGTGAAATGCAAAGAGAGGGCATGGTCTTCCCTCTTCCCAAGCCTCAAACTAGTAGTTGTGCTAAGTTTGAGGATTCTCTGTATCATCTGAGGTTCTTCCTGGGTTTTTTTTTTTTTTGCAGGCAGCAACATCTGCAGATCAAAATCTATTCAGGGAACCCTTGAACCAGTGGAAAAGAAGCTGAGGAAGAGAATATCAACTCCATGATAGACTGTTTAATGCAAGGATTAACAATTTAAAGCCTTGCATTGTTGCAAATGTTTGGTGCAAATGTCAAAGTTGAAGGCTGGGAACTGAAGGAGGTGAAGGGTGAAATTGGATTCTCCAAGACTATCTTATCTAATTGTAAATTATTCTTTTGTTGTATCTCCTGAATTTAAATGCAATGTTGCTATGGGCTGGTGATGAGGCAAAATGTATTGATAAGCCTTGCCTTATTAACTGCTTCAATTACCCTTCCTGCTGACTGAAGAGAAAATATTCCCAAATCAGGCCAAGAGCTGAGTGAAATTGTATTTGTGGAAAAATGGTTTTAAAAATGTAATTGTCATTTATTTGACCACCCTTTCATTCTCTTCGACCAGCAGGTCCAAGAGAATACTTCAGATTTTTGTACCTTACAGTTCAAAAAAAAAAAAGTCTTCGTTTATAGTTATACTTTGTTCCTTTCATTCCTTCCATAATTGCAAAATTAAAATGGTTTGCAAGGTATCATCTGGCACAAGTTTATTTTGTCAACTTGGTTTGACATACTACTTGTTCAAAAGCAGGCAGAACATCTAAAGGCAGTATAGGTAACTAGGCTATATATGTGATCTAAAGATTTCCAAGGTATAATATCTGCTTCAAAAACCTGTTCATTACAAAGATTGTACTTTATGTATACTGTGTGTGTATGGGTATGCTACAGAACATATGACAAAACAGATATGATCCCAACAATCTCATTTTGACATTAATGAAAAAAGGCTTGTTAACATGGCTGGGTGGAGTTCTGTGTTACCTAAACACCACAATTCAGTCAGCCTCTAAAGATTTTAGCTGAGACATCTCTAGGACAGTTTGGGGTGAAACTACCCTTACTTAAGCAGCCACCTCATACAAACTCTACAAAGATTGGGACTGCCAGCCCTTATTATCACAAGAAAAATAAATTAGAAGCATTTCAAGCACATCATAGCTCCATGATGGAAGGCAATCAAATTATTGATATAAGTTCCAAGTAATGAAAGATTTATCCACCCTTGTTTGTGCAATCAAATTATTGACTTAAGTTCCAAGTAATGGTTCATCTTTAAAGATTTCCATTGTGATAAAAGAAAGTGTTTACATTCTACAATTCCTTCAGAATTCTCCACTATGTCTCACATCATTCTAAGGGGGCCTTAACCCTCAGATCCAGTTTGATGGGTGGTGTGTAGAGGAGCTGCAAATGAAGATTTGGAACGCCGCCTTTTATATGTGGAATGCCACTTGAGGTTCCCAAGATAAAAGCCAATGACTGCATTCACAGATAATGCTAAACCAAGATGTTTTAACTATGGTTTTTAAATGAATCAGACTTCATCTTATAGATGAGTAAATAATCATGATTTATTGGGCAAACTCATATATTAGCTAAATGAGAACAGTTCAAAAACAATATAGAACCACATTTTAATGTTTATACTTGCGAAGCAACTATATTTTTTAATGTTCATTTTAGTCTAGCTGACTATGCAATGAACCATAACTATACAGTAATAATAAGCAAAACCAATAGTAATAGGCACCATGGGTGCAATCCCAAAACAATTGGAACACCTCTGACCTTGACAGAATCTCAATCGGTCAACTGCAAAAGCAGCTTTACTCAAAGCAGCTTCCATCCTTTAACACCATACCTTTAACACCATCAGACACCCACATCTGCCTATCCCAGGTTTTTGGGAAAAACTCAATAGGTGGATAAAAATGTGAAATCCAGTCTGAACACATAGCTGACTCTACAATGAACTATAATAATAATCTATTGATTAGGTATAAAATTTATTGAATATGTCAAGTTAAAATGCTATCTCGTATCCCAAACTGATTTAAGACATTCCAAAATTTTCCAGAAAAACAATTCTGATGCAAGATGTTCCCAGAAAGCCTACATAATAGGTATAGAGATCAGTTCCAAGTAAAGGCAATAATAAATAATGACTGCCTCTACTGTGCCAAAAATTGCCATTTCTATTCCATTGCCAGTTTTTACACTATTTTCTTTTGTGGTACAAATCA